ACTTGATTAGGTACACCTTGCTAAATTTTCAGTGAATCATCATTGGATCAAGCCTATTAAAAGTTGTATAAAGCATGTTGATATCTCAATTACTTTTCAAAATATGGACCAATGAACTTTGTAAGGGGCGTGACTCTGGACATAAATGACCACAAATCAGCAACCGTAGGGCCGATCATCACAAAACTCACAGGATATGTTCAGATAGGTGCCCCAGATATAACTGGACAGTTTGATGTACATACGTCCCTAGGGGGCGCTACAAGCGCAAGACAGGTGCTTAGCATTACACAAATTACACAACAATAAATCCCTTATTCATTCTCCAATCATCACAAATCTCTCAGGATGTGTCCTCATAAGTAAATGAAACATTCCCTGAAAGTTTCATTCAAATTGAACTTCTGGGGGCGCTATAAATGCAAACAAACTGCAGGGGACAAAACGCAAATCAGGCTACAAAATACAAATTGTTTGTCCAATCAACACAAAACTTGCAGGATATGTCTAGATAAGGACCTCACACATACACTGCAAGTCTCATTCAAATTGAACACAAGGAGGCGCTATAAATGCACAAAAGGAAGCTATTGATCAGAAAATGTTTGTCCCATCCAGTGGTGCTACCAGGGGGTGCCACGGCCACCCTAATAAAATTGGTGGCTACCCCAGTGGACCCCCCCGGTGAGGAGTATATGCATAAAATGCTTTATACTGTACATATGGGCCAGACGGCGTGTCTCCATCCTGCCTGAAAATCTCTTTCAACAGATCACTGGAGCTGTGTGAAGTTCCCTCCTGCTTCAAATGCTCCACACTCATCCCTGTCCCCAAAAAAACCCTCCATCTCTGGACTAAATGACTACAGGCCTGTCGCCCTGACATCTGTAGTCATGAAGTCTTTTGAAAGACTGGTGTTGGCCCACCTGAAGGACACTACAGGCCCCTTGCTGGACCCCCTGCAGTTTGCCTACAGGGCTAACAGGTCAGTGGATGATGCAGTCAACTTGGGACTGCATTACATCCTGCAACACCTCGACTCTCAAGGGACACATGAAAGGATTCTGTTCGTGGACTTTAGCTCAGCGTTCAACACCATCATCTCAGAAATCCTCAGCACCAAACTCACCCAGCTCACTGTGCCAGCCTCCACCTGTCAGTGGATCACAAACTTCCTGAATGACAGGAGTCAGCAGGTGAGGCTGGAGAACAAATTTTCTCTGGATCATCACTGGACTTAGCATATATAAAGTTGTATGAAACTTGTTGATAGCTCCTTTCGTTTTCAAGATATTGACCAATAAACGTGTAAAGGGGCGTGGCTCAAGACATAAATAGACAAAAATCCGCAACCGTTGGTCCAATCATCACAAAAATCCACAAGTGCCGGAAATATACCCTGAAAGTTTCATTCAAATCGACCACTAGGGGGCGCGTTAAATTAATCTTATCTGGACGTGGAATGGTAAATCAAGCCATAGATCAAAAAAAAAAAATGCTTGTCCAGTTGTTACAAAATGTGCAGGATATGTTTTATAACAATGTTGAACCACATGTGTGAACTTATTTTGAAGGCAATATTGCGAAAAAAGGTATGAACCCGGGAATTGCCGCTTGCGGCTATATTTATAGTTCTGTTTATGATAATCGTAATGCATCATGGGAAGTCCCCCAGCAGTCTAGGCCTATAGCAGCATAACTAAGGGATGGTTCAGGACTTACCTGAGCCAGCCCTAACAATAAGCTTTATCAAAGAGGAAAGTCTTAAGCCTACTCTTAAATGTGGAGATGGTGTCTGCCTCCTGAACCCAAACTGGAACCTGTTTCCACAGGAGAGGAGCTTGATAGCTGAACGCTCTGGCTCCCATTCTAATTTTCACCAGTGCTGTCTCTGTGCTATGATGAACTGAAAATCCTCAAATAAACTATTGTTATGTAGAAAGTTACACAACTGTTTGGCAACTGCTTTCTCAAGGATCTTAGAGAGAAATGGAAGGTTAGATATAGGTCTGTAGTTTGCTAAAAAATCTGGATCAAGGTTAGGCTTTTTCAGAAGAGGTTTAATTACAGCTACTTTAAAGTACTGTGGTACATAGCCTATTAATAAAGACAGATTGATCATATGTAGTAAAGAAGTGCTGACTAAGGGTAAAACTTCTTTAAGCAGCTTAGTCGGGATGGGGTCAAAGAGAAAGGTTGATGGTTTATGATGAGCAAATTATTGAAGTTAGTTGGTAAAGACTGAGGGAAGCAAAGCAGTCTACATATATCTGGTTTGACAGCTGTTTCTAAGGTTCCTGAGTTTAGAGGTAAGTCGGTGCCAGTTAAGGGCAGGTCTTGGTGAATTTTGTTTCTAATAATTAGAATATTATCATTATAGAAGCTCATGAAGTCGTCACTACTGAGAGCTATGGGAATACTTGGCTCAATAGAGCTGTGACTCTCTGTCAGCCTGGCTACAGTGCTGAAAAGAAACCTGGGGTTGTTCCTATTTTCCGCTATTGTTGATGAGTAGTATGCTGCTCTGGCATTACGGATGGCCTTCCTATAAGTTTTAAGACTATCTTGTCAAACGAGATTTTTCCAGTTGGGTGGAACGCCAGTTCCTCTCGAGTATCCGCAATATTTGCTTTAATATTTTCGAGTTTCATTGTTATACCATGGAGCTAACTGTCTTTGTTTTATTATTTTCTTTTTAGAGGGGCAACAGAGTCGAGTGTCATTCGCAGCGAGCCTGCAGCATTATCAACTAGATAATCGATTTGGGAGGGACTGAAATTAGCATAGGAGTCCTTATTTTGTGACTAGATAATGAATTTAGAGTTGATGAGTCACATCCTTAAATATAGCTACAGCGTTATCAGACACCTTGTATAGAAATTTTTGCCTAATGGTGTGTAGTTCAGCAATACAAACTCAAAAGTTGTCAAATAGTGGTCTGATAAAAAGGGATTCTGTGGGAACACTATTAAATGTTCAATTTCAATACCATATACCAGAACAAGGTCGAGGGTGTGGTTAAAACAGTGAGTCGGTTTATGAACACTCTGAGAGAAGCCAACTGAATGTAATAAAGCAGCCTGTTCTCATGCTCAGGTGTCACATATACACGCTTTGGAAAAGCCGTGTCAATTGTACGCAAAACGGTGATTTTGCGTGTATAGTGGACGCCCCCAGGTACGTTTGTATGAGACGCATCCAGGCCGCGTGTGTATGTGACGCCCTGGAGGCTACTAGCGCTTCCGGTCGCTAGCTAGCTAGCGATTTTTTTGTTTAAGGAGTTGACAGCCCCCCCGAGGTAACTTCCCTAACCTCAACCATGGCATTAGTTAGTGCCTAAATCTAAGTCAGTAAAATATATGCATGACGATCGGATAACCCTACAGCTGTACACGCAAAATCGCCGTTTTGCGTACAACTGACATGGCTTTTCCAAAGCGTGTATATGTGACGCATGAGATGCGATCGGGTTGAATAAAGAGATTAACACAGTTCTAAGGCTGTCATTCTCAACGTCCATGAATATTAAAATCCCCTACAATACCAAAATTTCCTGTGGTACTAGAAAATGTTCCTATGGTATTCATGTGGTACGACCTTACAGTACCACAGGTAAAGTCAATTCTGTGTATGTTCTATGGTTCTATACCATACATTTACCACACAGTAGGCCTACATGTTCTATGGTACTATACCATACATTTACCACACAGTACATGTTCTGTGGTACTATACCACAGATTTACCACACAGTACATGTCCTATGGTACTACCATACATTTACCACACAGTACATGTCCTATGATACTATACCACAGATTTACCACACAGTACATGTCCTATGGTACTATACCATACATTTACCACACAGTACATGTCCTATGATACTATACCACAGATTTACCACACAGTACATGTCCTATGGTACTATACCATACATTTACCACACAGTACATGTCCTATGATACTATACCATACATTTACCACACAGCACATGTCCTATGTGGTATAGTACCAAAGAAAAGGATCAATGCTTCTGAGTAAATATTTATAGCTCAATTGAAAGCTTTTTATTTTATTTTAGAGAACTGTGTCAATATCAGGATAACATGTACACAGTAAAGAAAAAATGCAAGACAAGAAGACAAAACAAAAAATACTAGTGTAAAGCAAATATAAATAATAATAATAATAAATATAAAATACTGTATCATCTGTACAAAAGACATTTGTCAAACACATAATTAGTCTTAAAAGCATTTGTATTGTTAATGTAAGTCTATGCATTTCTTCTTGTGAATGTGAATTTCCAAAATAATAAAACTAACTTTACAAAAAATAATAGGCACCTTTTTCCTACTCATTACTTTACAACTACAAAACATAAGAATGTCTATATCATGAAATTGAATTGTTTGTCAAGTTTTCCTTATCATATAATAATAAACATCCAACTAAAATATTTTACTATATAGATACTGGGAGAAATGCCCAAATGTCAAATAATTGTTGCAAAATATATCTCCTCATGCCGCGAACTGAAGACAACCAGTGGAAACTCAGACTGATAAATAATTGTACTCATTTTCAAATTATTATTTTGATTGCTTGATATTTAAATTTCACTCTTTGAAACAGATTTTTATTTATTTATTTATTTTATTAATTATTTTTTTTATTTTTGTCTATTATATATATATACACACAGACACACACATTACTGTTTCATTTATTTATTTTATTTTAATTTTTAATATATTTTTAATTTTTTTAACAGACACATACACACGCTTACTGTTTTATTTATTTACTTTTATTTTTAATATTTATTTTTAGGAAATTTTTATATTTTAGATATATTTGATTAATATTTATTTTTTATTAACACACAAACACAACTTTTACTGTTTTATTTACTTATTTAATGAAATGTATGAAATTAATTGTTCTTATGTCATTTATATGTAGCTTTGGCAATATTGTTGTTATACATTCATGCCAATAATGCTGATTTAATTTGATTTGATACAGTGATAAATAAATGACAGATTGTTTATTCTTGTAATTCACAGAAAGTGCAAGAAAACTCAATATAATTCTAAATCTTGAATTTCCCTCAGGATAAATAAAGTCTATATCTATCTATCCATCTATCTATCATTATCACTTCTGATACAGAGGCACGCAGCGTATGACGTCATCAATGTCTTAACGTCAGGCCAGAGCCATTAACGGAAACTTCTAGAAAGTCACCGAGGCAAGCGAGACGAGTTTGGAAGTAACGGGGCAAAACTAACGTTAATTAATTAACATACTTTACAAAGTTGAGATAACCCAGCTTTTTTGGAGCACTATATGTTGAACTGTGCTCTGGTATGACCGCGTCAGTACCGTTAAGTGGAGGCCCGTTAACGTACGTTACTGTTACGCTAGCGTCAACAAACGTTAGCTGAAAAGTAACGTTAATGTATCCAAGTGACTGAAACCTTTGCCAGACAGTCGTCACCAGTTGTTATTTAAAGTCTGGGGCTGCTCCTTGATACCTGCGCTTTGGTCTGGTAAGTAAAAAAGTTTATGAAATGTCGGCTGTCTGTTGTCAGGCGCAGAAACATTAACAGAACGTTAACGTTAACTGAAGTTAAGCTTGCTAACACTGAGGTAACGGTAACTTTGCACCAAGTGCTGTAGTTATGTAACGTTAAACCCTAACGTTATCTGTATAATGTGGAGACAGTCAAGCTCTGCGGTCAAGAATGATAAGCTGTTGCTAAACACAAAGTGTAATAAGATGTAACGTTACTCAGAAAGTCCTAACGTTACCGTTCAGCCCTTCTATTGCAGAGACTAACGTTATTTGTAAAGGAGTTATATTTTTTACGGTAGAAATTTTCCATTGTTGATGAATCTATTTTATCATGTGGTGTCATGACATGTGGACAGCTGTACTGTATTGCGTTAACGTTATGCAAGACGCATTTCTGTTATTTAGCACAGCCTCACCGATATTAATGGGATGGACATAATAACAGAAACACCTGTCCATGTGCTACACTTCAACAGCAGCACAACAAACGGCAGCTTCCAAAATGACCATACTTATTATTAGTTATTTTAGCAAAATACTGCACATTATCATTTTTATGAAGGAAGGATTTATGGCAGGAATGTTTGATTGGACTGTATTATTTTTTAACTAAATATAATTAATAAACTGGTAACTAAGTCTTAGAAACTAACATTATTTCTCACAACATTAAACTCTGCCCATATATCAAGTATTTACATGGCCATTATTTTGTAAACTAATAAAAATATGGTGTTCTTGTATTGTTTGCCCATTAAGGAGTATATAGAGTGCTGCCGAAGGAATTTCATAATGCCCATAATCACCTGACTGGCAAAAGCAGCTACTGTACAGGTGAGTCAGATAAATTATAAAACAGCATTTGATGATGATGTTGTTGACTGGACTTTAATCTGCATATCTCAGCATCAGCATTGGTATATTTTACTTTTAATTATTTAAGATTATTTGGACTTAATGCTTTTTATACTGCATATATTTGAAAGACTTGAGTTAAAGGCATTATAAGGACCATACATGAATGTTTTGGCTTCATTATTAAACGCAAGTTAAGGGTCTTTTCCTCCCTCAGAGGTACAGAATAAATAAACCTGCCTGTGTGTTAAATACTGTCACCTGCAGTCAATTGCTGGCTAATCAGACATACTGGGGATGAAATACTACATTGCTTCTATAGGAGCCACAGTGTATGACATTTTAAAATGAAAAGAAGCTATTTACTACTGTCACAGATTTTGTTACCTGAATTATTGGCAATGATCAAGAGCCAAGAAGACTGTGGAACCTTTTTTACTATAGACTGTGTGAAAGGCTGTTATTACCTCCTTCAGCTATTCATTACCTGACTGAAATCATCATCATAACACTGTCAATGTAGTGGTCCATGTCCCAGGTAAAAACTGTATTGTATTTGCCATATAGCCAACCGTCCTGCTTAAAACAAGTAGCCTAATTGATTCTAAATGTTTTTTTGTGAGGACCCAAGTTGAAAACTCTGTATTAATCTACATACATTTGTGTGTATATGCTTGTATGATATTGTAGAACTATTCTACTGCTACCCTGTACAGGCAGAAGGTGTCACAGACAGGCAAGACAGCAGAGGCACTGCGGACATCCTAAGGATTTATGTCAACACAGATTGGGACAAATCTACTATTTATATCGAAATTTTATTGTTGCTGTGTTATTGATGTGATGACTAGGAGAATAAAGCCAACTACTTTCCCAATTCAACCCAATTGACGGTTCAGTTCAGACCTCAATTTTTGAGCCGCAATTCCATGATCCCTCAATCATGACTGGACCAAAATAGTCACGTGACACGTAGCTAGAAGACAATGAAATTGGTCCAATGTGTAATATTTACTAAATATAGGCCTACAGCTTGCCTTAACTTTAAATACAGTGTTTTCGACATACTTTACTTGGGCGGGCCGGCCAGGTATATTTGCACCTGCCAAAGTATATTTGGCTCCCCACTTCGGCATTTTGCAGAGAAAATAGACTTTTGTGTTTCGGTTTCGGTTTCAGAACTGTTACAGCCCTATCGCTGTGCATGACTTTTTAACTTTTTTATCCATCCAAGAGACCAACACCATCTGTGGTTGATCCCTGTGCAGTCTACTGGCAGTTGCACAGAAACAGACAGAGAGAGATGTAGTTTGGGCCTCCTCCACACGCAGTTCACCTGCAGTTGTAAACATGGAATCGCGAGTGAAAAAGTCCAATACGCAAGCTGTGTTTTTTGGGCGATAAAACATAACTGCTGAAAAAGTAAGTTGACAGATTTAAATTTATTGATTTAGCTGACGCTTTTATCCAAAGCAACTTACAATTGCTATATATGTCAGAGGTCGCATGCCTCTGGAGTAACTAGGGGTTAAGTGTCTTACTCAGGGACACAATGGTGGATGGGTCACAATGGGGGATTGAACCCGGGTCTTTCACACCAAAGGCAGGCGTCTTATTCATTACTCCATCACCACACAGATAACAGGCTGTATGTGTCTACCCCTGTATGATACAGAAAGAGGTGGGTCATTGTACATTATGTGTGTAAGAAACAGAAGTGGTGCGTGTGCGAATATCCAAATCCCAAAATTAAAAAACGAATACCTACCCAATTAAGTAATAGTCGAATATTCAGGTCTAAAACTTACAGCACTGGCTTTCCATTTTTTATTGCCATGTTTAAGGTAATGGTTGTCTTCTATTTCTCACCCATTGTTTTAATCAGAAGAATCAGAATCAGAAGGAGCTTTATTGCCAAGTAGTGTTTTACACATACGAGGAATTTGCTGCTATGGTGATAAACACACAGTCAACATAAATAAATGTGGAAATATATAAATATGGAATAGAAGAACAACGTTGCAGATATATACATGTGCATTATTCTGGGTCTGTGCCGTGCAGAAGTAACATAACGGAAGAGAATATTGTGTACATATAAATATATAACAATCAACAACAAATATGTGCGACGTGCCAGGTCTGAGCCCGACACGAGATGAAACAGTATTTACATGTGCAGAGACATTTGTATCGTTTGCAAGGGTGGAGTGTGAGTAGGGGCCTTGTTGATGAGGCTAGCTGCAGACGGGAAGAAACTGTTTTTGTGGCGAGAGGTTTTGGTCCTGATGGACCGCAGCCTCCTGCCAGAGGGGAGAGTCTGAAACAGTTTGTGTCCGGGGTGGGAGGAGTCAGCCGCCATCTTTCCTGCTCGCCTCAGAGTCCTCGAGGAGTACAGGTCCAGAAGAGGAGGAAGATTGCAGCCAATCACCTTCTCTGCAGAGCGAATGATACCAGGTGGTGATGGAGGAGGTGAGGATGGACTCAATGATGGCGGTGTAGAAGTGCCCCATCATTGTCTTTGGCAGGCTGAACTTCTTCAGCTGCTGCAGGAAGTACATCCTCTGCTGGGCCTTTTTGATGATAGAGGTGATGTTCAGCTCCCACTTGAGGTCCTGGGAGATGATGGTGCCCAGGAAGCGGAAAGAGTCCACAGTGGTGACTGGGGAATCACTCAGAATGATGGGGGAGGGTGGGGCTGGGCTCTTTCTGAAGTCCACGACCATCTCCACTGTCTTCTGAGCGGTGAGCTCCAGACTGTTCTGGCTGCACCAGGTCACCAGACGGTCGATCTCCCACCTGTAGGCAGACTCGTCCCCACCTGAGATGAGCCCAATGAGGTGGTGTCGTCATGGAGCTCTGGTGTAGGTTCCTGGGGAGTCCAGGTGCTGGAGGATGTAGTGAAGGGCCAAGTTTACTGCATCATCTACAGACCTGTTGGCTCTGTAGGCGAACTGCAGGGGGTCCAGGAGTGGGTCTGTGATGGATTTTAGGTGGGACAACATAAGGCGTTCAAAGGACTTCATAACCACAGAGGTCAGGGCGACGGGTCTGAAGTTGTTTAGTCCAGTGGTCACTGTGTGGTAATCACTGTGTTTGTATAAATTTGACTGTCTTTAGGTATTTGCAGTTGAATGGATTTGTTATTGTTGAAGGTGCACTTAGCTCATATTAGCCGATAAATTGGTCAGGCTCTACTCATAATTGCATTGTTTGTATTTTGCAGTGCGAAGATGAACCAGACATTGCTGATCTTACCAAGGTATGCCTAACCTGAAAAATAAATTAAGATTTCTTAAGTCTGATGGAAACAAGTTTCACTGTTACATATTTTGTTTATTTAATAAAACAAACTTGAAATGTAATATTGTAGTTGTATTCATATTTTTAAGAATTACTGAAAATGGGCATTTTGTAAATATTAAGTGCATTACCACTGAATGTATGAGATAGTGCTATAGGGCATGTCTATACCACAGGTTCTATGGTATAGTACCACAGAAGTACCACAGAGGGTATGGTAAAGTACCACAGAGTGTATGGTAAAGTACCACAGAAGTACCACAGAGTGTATGGTACAATCCTGTGGTAAACGTCCCAAAATACCATACAAAGTACCACAGGAAGTTACTACAGGAACATGTGGTAAAGTACCACAGAGTGTATGGTAAAGTACCACAGAAGTACCACAGAGTGTATGGTAAGGTACCACAGAAGTACCACAGAATGTATGGTAAAGTACCACAGAAGTACCACAGAGTGTATGGTAAGGTACCACAGAAGTACCACAGAGTGTATGGTAAGGTACCACAGAAGTACCACAGAATGTATGGTAAAGTACCCAGAACGTATGGTGAAGTACCACAGAATGTATGGTAAAGTACTGCAGAGCCTGAGGTACAATCCTGTGGTAAACGTCCCAAAATACTATACAAACCTCTTGAGTACCACAGGAATTTACTAAAGGAACATGTGGTGTAGTACCACAGAACGTATGGTTAAGTACCACAGATGTACCACAGAGTATATGGTAAGGTACCACAGAAGTACCAATTCAATTCAATTCAATTTTATTTATATAGCACCAAAACACAACAACAGTTATCTCACAGCGCTTTTCATAAAAGAGCAGGTCTAGACCGTACTCTATGATGCTATTTACAGAAGCCCAACAGTTCCCACCAAGAGCAAGCACTAGGCTGAATCAGCTGAAGAGTCTTAACGGACTTTTTCGAGCAGCCTGATAATAAGGAATTGCAGTAATCCAGCCTAGAAGTAACAAATGCATGGACTAGTTTTTCTGCATCATTTTTAGACAGGATGTTCCTGATTTTCGCAATATCACGTAGGTGGAAAAAGGCGGTCCTTGAAATTTGCTTAATGTGAGACTTGACGACATGTCCTGATCAAAGATTCCTCACAGTGGTGCTGGAGGCCAGGGCGATGCCATCCAGGGAAACTATATCTTTAGATAATGCGTCATGGAGGTGCTTAGGCCCCAGAGCAATAACTTCAGTTTTATCTGAGTTTAACATTAGAAAATTACAGGTCATCCAGGTTTTAACATCCTGAAGGCACATTTGAAGTTTAGCTAACTGATGAGTTTCATCTGGCTTGATCGATAGATATAACTGAGTATCATCTGCATAACAACTTAACATCAGCCTGCCCAGGGACTACGGGTGAAAATTAGCTCTTGAGCTAAAACCCGGTACAATGCACGTTCCCCTTTGAGGTTAATGTTTATTGTACGTTGTCCCTGTTTCTCTAAATAAAAATAAAAATAAATTTAAAAAAAACAATGAAAGCTTATGGAATGTTAATAATATGTGTTGATAATATTGCCTAAGGGAAGCATATATAAAGTAAAGAGTATTGGTCCGAGGACAGATCCTTGAGGAACTCCATGACTAACTTTGGCATGCATGGAGGACTCATCGTTAACATGTACAAACTGAAATCGATCTGATAAATAGGACTTAAACCAGCTTAGAGCGGTTCCTTTAATGCCAATGAAATATTCCAGTCTCTGCAATAGGATCTGATGATCAATGGTATCAAATGCAGCACTAAGATCTAATAAAACCAGTACAGAGACAAGTCCTTTGTCTGATGCAATAAGGAGGTCGTTAGTAATTTTCACCAGTGCTGTCTCTGTGCTATGATGAGCTCTAAATCCTGACTGAAAATCCTCAAATAAACTATTGCTCTGTAGAAAGTCACACAGCTGTTTAGCAACTGCTTTCTCCAGAACCTTAGAGAGAAATGGAAGGTTAGATATAGGTCTATAGTTGGCTAAAACATCCGGATCAAGTTTGGGCTTTTTCAGAAGAGTTTAATTACAGCTACTTTAAAGTACTGTGGTACATAGCCTGTTGATAGAGATAGATTGATCATATCTAGTATAGAGGTGCTGACTAAGGGTAAAACATCATTAAGCAGCCTAGTCGGGATGAGGTCTAAGAGGCAGGTTGATGGTTTAGATGAAGAAATTATTGAAGTTAGTTGGTAAAGATTGAGTGAAGCAAAACAGTCTAAACATGTATCTGGTTCTACAGCTATTACTAAGGTTCCTGAGTTAAGAGATAAGTCGGTGCCAGTTGAGGGCAGGTCTTGGTGAATTTTGTCTCTAATAGCTAGAATTTTATCATTAAAGACGCTCATGAAGTCGTAACTACTGAGAGCTATGGGAATACTTGGCTCAATAGAGCTGTGACTCTCTGTCAGCCTGGCTACAGTGCTGAAAAGAAACTTGGGGTTGTTCCTATTTTCCTCTATTAATGACGAGTAGTATGCTGCTCTAGCATTACGGAGGGCCTTCCTATAAGTTTTAAGACTATCTTGCCAAATTAAACGAGAATTTTCCACTTTGGTGGAACGCCAATTCCTCTCAAGTTTCCGCGATATTTGCTTTAATTTGCGAGTTTCAGTATTATACCATGGAGCTAACCGTCTTTGTTTTAGTATTTTCTTTTTTAGAGGGGCTACAGAGTTGAGCGTCATTCACAGCGAGCCTGCAGCACTATCAACAAGATGATCGATTTGGGAGGGACTGAAATTAGCATAGGAGTCCTCCGTTACTTTGTGACTAGATAATGTATTAAGAGCTGATGGAATCGCATCCTTAAATTTAGCTATAGCACCATCAGACAGACATCTTGTATAGAAATTTTTGCCCAATGGCGTGTAGTTCAGCAATACAAACTCAAAAGTTATCAAACAGTGGTCAGATAAAGAGGGATTCTGTGGGAACACCACTAAATGTTCAATTTCAATACCATACACCAAAACAAGGTCAAGGGTGTGGTTAAAACAGTGAGTCGGTTCATGAACACTCTGAGAGAAGCCAATGGAATCTACCAGAGAGATAAATGCAGTACTAAAGCTGTCATTCTCAATGTCCACATGAATATTAAAATCCCCTACAATAATAACTTTGTCCGTTTTAAGGACTAAAGTTGACAAAAACTCTGCAAATTCAGATAAGAATTCAGAATACGGGCCAGGTGCTCGGTACACTATAACGAAGAGAATTGGTTGCAGTGATTTCCAAATTGGGTGCGAAAGACTAAGAACAAGGCTTTCAAATGAGTTATAGTTTGGTTTAGGTTTAGAGCTGATTAATAGGCTAGAGTCGAAGATAGCTGCAACTCCACCTCCTCGGCCTGTGCCTCGAGGAATGTGAGTATTAATATGACTGGGAGGGGTGGATTCATTTAGGCTAACATATTCTCCATCACCCAGCCAGGTTTCAGTAAAACAAAATAAATCAATATCATAATCTGATATTAGTTCATTTACTAGTACACCTTTAGAAGAGAGAGATCTGATGTTTAAGAGTCCACATTTAACTCTCCTATTCTTTGCACTATTGCTCTTGTGGTTTTAATTTTTATGAGGTTTTTATGCACAGCTCCTCTTCTGTTTACCTTTTTAAATAATTTCAATGGTCGGGGGACAGACACCGTCACTATAGGATTTTCACTAAGTAACTCCTGAAATGGAGGAGCAGAGAAGTGTGTTAGACTGCGACTCTGCGTAGGGTTTTGGGTGGGTAACTGCTGAAAAAGAAGGGCAGAGAAGTGTGTTAAACTGCGACTCTGCCTCCTGGTCTCAACTCTGGGTTGTCATGGATTTGGTCCACTAATAAACTTGGCCAGATTTCTAGAAATGAGAGCTGCTCCTTCCCAAGTGGGATGGATGCCGTCTCTCCGAATCAGACCAGGTCTTCCCCAGAAAGTCTGCCAATGATCTACAAAGCCCACATCGTTTGCTGGACACCACCTCGACAACCAGCGGCGGAATGACGACATGCGGCTATACATGTCATCACTGGTCAGATTTGGCAGGCGTCCAGAGAAAACTACGGTGTCCGGCATTGTTTTTGCATATGTACACACCGACTCAACTTTAATCTTAGTGACCTCCGATTGGCGTAACCGGGAGTCATTACCGCCAACGTGAATAACAATCTTACTGTATTTACGTTTATCCTTAGCCAGCAGTTTCAAATAAGACTCAAATGTCGCCCGCTCTGGCCCCAGGGATGCACTTAACTATGGCCGGGAAAATCTGTTAGAAACAGGTTGATGGTGCACCGTGCCCCCCCCTTTCCTGGCTGCTCAGGAGATCCTCATTGTCGGCTGCATATCTGTGATTTGAATCTCCCATTCCACCTCATCCCAAAGGTGCTCTACTGGATAGAGATCTGGTGACTGTGGTGGCCACTGGAGTACAGTGAACTCATGGTCATGCTCAAGAAACCATTTTGAGATGATTTGAGGTTTGGAACATGGTGTATTATCCTGCTGCTAGTAGCCATAAAAAGATGGGACACTGAGGTCATAAAGGGATGGATGTCGCGTTTAAACGATGCTCAGTTGGGGGCCAAAGTGTGCCAAGAAAATATCCCCCACGCTATGGATGTCATTAGACCTATTTTAGGGGGGCTGAAGCTACCCTAAAATGGTCCTAAACCCCCCAAATAATAATAATTAGATTTTTTTTTTTACAGTACAGACATGTACTCGTATGTATGATAAATATAGCTGCAAGCAGCGATTCGTGGGTTCAAACCTTTTTTCGCATTAGCGACTTCAAAATAACTTCATACATGTGGTTAGATATTGTTATGAAACATATCCTCAAGTTTTGTAACGACTGGACAGTCATTTTGAATTATACCTGCAGTGTACAGGTGCTGGTCATATAATTAGAATATCATCAAAAAGTTGATTTATTTCAGTAATTCCATTCAAAAAGTGAAACTTGGATATTATATTCATTCATTACACACAGACTGAGATATTTCAAATGTTTATTTCATATAATTGTGATGATTAAAACTGACAACCAATGAAAGCCC